AATCATCCACTTTCAATCAACAAAACAGAAATAAAAGTGTATAAATCAACAAGAAAAACAAGTAAAGAACATGACATTTTTCGACCTAAGGCAAGAGGTTCAGAACTAGAGTTCCCATTCCCCTTTTGAGCTTCCGCCAACCGAAAGAAATTATTATATTAACCGGAATCAAGAAATTGTTCCTCATACTAAATCACCCAAGATTACATCAATAAAGGAAAAACCCTCAAACTGATCGAAACAGCAATCCACTCAAGGATACAACAATAACCCTTTACAAATCACTGAAGATCTATACAAGAGACTATATAGATTATAGATCTAAAATAAGGCTTCTAAATTTTCAGAGTGCTGAACAGAGAAGATGAGAGAGTACAGAGCACACAGAGAGTTCTAGAGAGTATGAGAGAATGAACAGCCACCTCAAAACTCAAACCCTAGTATATGAAAAGTCTCCAGAAGGCCAGCCAACCCAACGGTTCGTGGGGTGACACTTGGCAACATCTCATCCATCCAACCATTTAGTAAAAATGCATAAAGGTAAAACACACTTATAACCAGATGAAAACAGAAGCCACCAAGCAATCAAATAATAACAATCCAGCCCAACAAGAATTATCCAACAACCAAGCCATCAGACCAACAGACCGGCCCAACTCAATAATACAATCAGGTTCCTACAGCATCATCATTGTTCCATTTCTCCACAATGACACTCAACACTTCTAAAAGGATCAAACAGTATCACTCAACCAAAAACAAAAAATGAAAAAAGAAACATTACAAAAAAAGACAAACATATGGTCTTATGCTCCGTCTCCGTCTCCGTCTCTGTCCGTGTCTCTATCTCTGTTTCGTTCGAACCCATGCACAATAATATCTTGTAATCTTCTACAAAGAGGATTGACAAAAGTGTCACTTAGAATGCCTGAAATCCAATCTTTAATTGCATCTAACGCGGACAGACTTATTAGCTTTATCATCAGCATAATGAACAGAAGTATTAAACTCCTGTAAAAGTAGAAATTACATAAGTGAAAAGTGAAGATTCTCAGTAAGATTAAAAATGTGAAACTTCCATGTCTGCAGCATATGAGCTCAAAA